GTTACAAAAGAAAACGTGACTGAAGGCTCGGCACCTGTGGCTCAAGCGGCTAAGGCACTAGCCACATACACCTAAGGTGGCAGGTTCGAATCCAGCCCGTACCTGCCAAACAACAATGATGGCTGCAACCAAAAAATAGCCAGGCGTTGTGGCGGGCGCCTGTGGTTCCAGCTACTTGGGAGGCAGAGGCAGGAGACTCGATTCAGCCCAGGAGTTGGAGGCTGCTGTGAGCTATGAAGCCATGGTACTCTACCCAGGGGGATAGCTTGAGGCTCTGTCTCAAAAAAAAAAAAAAAAAAAAAAGAGTTTCTCTATATTCTCTTACCATAACTATCTTTTCTTTAGGATTACATTGCTAAGTCAGTAGTAAATCTCCTGAAAGTATAAGGCCAAGATTCTTATTCTAACTATGTCAAAAGATACAAACCAGTTCAGCCCCTGTGGCTCAAACAGCTAAGGTGCCAGCCACATACACCTAAGGTTGCGGGTTTGAATCCAGCCTGGGCCCACCAAACAACAATGACAGCTGCAACCAAAAAAAAAAATAGCCAGGCATTGTGGGGGGCGCCTGTGGTCCCAGCTACTTGGGAGGCAGAGGCAGGAGACTCACTTGAGCCCAGGAGTGGGAGGTTGCTGTGAGCTGTGACGCCACAGTACTCTACCCAGAGCGACAGCTTGAGGCTCTGTCTCAAAAAAAAAAAAAAAAAAGATATAAACCTATTCCAAACAACTGTAGCCAAAATGTTAATAGTGGCTGCTTTGGGTGGTGTGGCTTTTTCTTCTATTTTTCACTCTTATGATAACAATTTTCATGGTAGTCATTCCTTTCATTGATAGATATCAGGACCCAAGGGACATCAGTTTTTATTTAAGTATAGTCAGCATTTAAGTACTCATTCAGAAGCTGACTGAAGTTTATAAATTAGCAGATTTCTTGTGTGATCTCCATCACCCTTAACTATTTTTCTGTAACAGTGGGTCTCAATCTTCCTAATGTCGCAACCCTTTAATATAGTTCCTCATGTTGTAGTGAACCCCAACATAAAATTATTTTTGTTGCTACTTCATAACTGTAATTTTGCTACTGTTATGAATCGTAATATAAATATCTGATATGCAGGATGATCTGAGGCAATCCCTGTGAAAGGGTCATTCAACCCCGAAGGGGTCGTGACCCACAGGTTGAGAACCACTGTTCTATTACCAAATAGGTTAGCATTTGGAACAATCCAGCTCAAGAAAGAGTTAATCGGGCGGTGCCTGTGGCTCAGTGAGTAGGGTGCTGGCCCCATATACCAAAAGTGGCAGGTTCGAACCCAGCCCCAGCCAAACTACAAAATAAAAAAATAGCCAGGCATTGTGGAGGGTGCCTATAGTCCCAGTTACTCGGGAGGCTGAGGTAAGAAAATCACCTAAGCCCAGGAATTGGAGGTTGCTGTGAGCTGTGACACCATAGCACTCTACTGAGGGTGATAAAAAAAAAAAAAAAGAAATAGTTAATCACAATTAGTAAGTTCATTATTTCAGTACGGTAAATCCTCAACATAATTAGGCCTAATGTTAATCACCTTTTCTTTTGAACAGGGAGGGAAAGGAAGAGGGAAATGATAAACTGGCCCATAGATACCTACTAGTTTCAGTTTGAAAGTCTCGGAAACCATCAAATATTGAACGTGCAGGCCGTCGTCTTTTAGGAGCTTTAGAAGGAAAAACAAGAATTCAAAATTTAAACATTAATTTTGAAATTTAATTCTAAAATGTCCTTATCTATAAATATTTCTTACTTTAAAATAGTCATAGATCCTTTATGGTTCCTTTAAAATAATCTAGAACTTTCAAGTCATTCATACATGATTAACAAAAATCATCTTCAGGTCAACCATCTTGTTTTACAAATGAGAAAATTAAGACTCAGTTAAGAGACTTGACCGAACTTATGTAAAAAGGCAAAGTCTAAGTGGTGGCATTAGGAAGAAAGAAAATTTTGAGATGAGTCTGCATAGAGATGATACTACACATAAGCCACAAATATACAATTCAGGTTAGCCTAAGGGATCTGGATCACTCTTTGGTATCACACTTGAGTAACTTTTAAGTTCTAAACCGTAAGATTTAAGGACTATTTGTCAATGAGTAGACACAGAAAATTATAAATGCCAAAAAATTCTTTAATATTGGCAAAAAAACATTTTCTACCACTATATAATGGTTCAGTGACAGAAAATTGAAAACAACCAAGATCTTCTGCTTCCCCTGTAGAATATATATGACCAATCTTTAAATATTTTACAGATAAGGCTCAGGACTGGTAGCACAGTGGTTACAGTGGCAGCCTCATACACGGAAGGTGGGCGGGTTCGAACCCAGCCCAGGCCAGCTAAACAACTGCAACAGCAATAACAAAAATATCCGGACGTTGTGGTAAGCACTTGTAGTTCCAGCTACTTGGGAGGCTGAGGCAAGAGAATCGCTTAAGCCCAAGAGTTTGAGGTTGCTGTGAGCTGTGATGCCATGGCACTCTACCCAGGGCCACAAAGTGAGACTCTGTCTCAAAATACCATAACAAACAAACAAAAAATATATAAAATAAAAATAAATTTTTAAAAACTAGTTACCTGGTAATTTTTAACTATAACGATTTTTTTTAACTTTTTTTTTTTTTTTTAGAGACAGGGCCTTGCTGTTGCCCATGCTGGAGTGTAGTGATATTATCAGTACTCACTACAATCTCCATCTCAATCTCATGGGCTCTCACAAAGCTAGTAAAGGGCACACTGCCACACGCAGGCCAAGTCTTTTCTCTTTTTTTGTAGAGACAAGGTCTTGTTATGTTGCCCAGGCTGGTCTTGAACTTCTGGCCTCAAGAGATCCTCTCCTGCCTTGGCCTCCCAAAGTGCTGAAATTGCAGGCATGAGCCACCAAGGCCAACCATAACTATAACAATTAAAGAAAATAAGAATGTCTTAGGATAAGACATAGAACAACTGCCTAAGGAAGCACGTTATTATAGAATATCCTTCTACCCAACTCCTTTTATTTTTTGGAGTCATAACCTGCACAATTTATTTGCCCATTATTTATTCTAAGTCAAACCCAATACCTCTAGCCCTAAGATTATTATTATTCCTTCCTGCCTCTTTGATATGGTTTTCTGGTACTTCCAAGCCACCTTCTACAAGCAAGTAAGTACTCTGTACTTTGCTCTACTGCCCACACAATAAACTAAGCTACAAGGAGCTAAAAGAGATTATAAAGAAGTCTTCAGGCCAGAATAGGGGATAGGTGCCACAGTTTATGCCTGCAATTGTAACACTTTGAGAAGCTAAGGTAGCATCCTTTGAGGCCAGTTCATGACCAGTGTAAGCAACATAGTAAGGCAACATCTCTACAGAAAATAGAAAAATTAGCCAGGTACGGTGGTGTACACGTGTAATCCCAGCCACAAGGGAGGCCAAGACAAAAGGGTCATTTGAGCCCAGACATTTAATGATGACAGCACTGCACTCTAGCCTGTGTGACAGAATGAGAGCCTATCTAAAGAAAAAAAAGTAAACTGCAAATACAGGGTGGCCATAAAGTTTGTGTGCAATAGTACACGAACTTTTATGGCCACCCTGTATGTGGCATTATATTCAACAACTAGTGGTAGAGTTTGAAATCACTACATTAATTCACCTAAGATGCCAGCAGTCTGACTTATTATTGCTTCTAAAACATCAGCCCAAATGCCACTAGCGTGAAAAAGGCAAATAACTTCCTAGTATTATGTAAAAAGTTCGGTTTTTTGTTTTCTGGAAACAGTCCCATTTTGTCACCCTCAGTAAAGTGCCCTGGCGTCATAGCTCACAGCTACCTCCCACTCTTGGGCTCGAGTGATTCTCTTCCCTCAGTCTCTCAAGTAGCTGAGACTACAGGCATCCACCACAATGCCAGCTATTTTTAGAGATGGGGTCTTATTCTTGCTCAGGCTGGTTTCGAACCCGTGAGCTCAGGCAATCCACCCACCCTGACCTCCCAGAGTGCTAGGATTATAAGCCTGAGCCACCATCACGCCCATGTAAAAAGTTCTGACTTTGGGCCAGGCACAGTGGCTCATGCCTATAATTCTAATACTCTGGGAGGCTGAAGTGTGTGGAATGCCTGAGTTTGCAGGTTCAAGACCAGCCTGAGCCAGAGAGAGACCCTGTCTCTTCTAAAAATACAAAAAACTAATGCAAGACAACTGCTTGAGCCCAAGTTGGAGGTTGCTGTGAGCTATGACGCCAAGGTACTCTACCCAGGGTGACAGCTTGATAAATAAAAGTTTTGACTTTACAGACTCTTGAAAGAGTATTAGGTATTTAAGACCAAACTTTAAATCAATACTGCCCTAAGACGAAAAAGTTCTCCAAGGCCCATTTTCAAGTTATAATAAGGTTTAATAATGAAAGGTAAGAATGACTTCCTCATTTTATGTCACTTTCATGTCTCTCTTTACTGTATGTCAAAATCCAGAGGTAAAAAAAAGAGGAAAGTGGAGTTTCAAATGGAATTTTTACCTCTCTGTTCAATAGCAAGACAGTACAAAACTAATTCCTATAGCCCTACTCACCCAAAGATCCTGCCTTATTTCTCATAATAATGAAAAGATAAAGCTTTTCCAGGGCATTACTCCTTAGCTCCAAAATCTATTCATAGTAGTTATATTTTAAAAAATTATGAACAATGCTTTATAACATCTGGTATCATAGCAGCATAATGACTGGCTGAATGCAATGGTCCAGGAAGCACATTATTACACTGCAGTATTCAGACCTTACAGTTTTCTCTTTACCTTAATTTCTGAATCTAGACAGTATATTCTTTTATTTCTTGCCATAGTCAACTCCAGAGTTACCGAGTTAAAGGTCTATCTTATAAAAAATCTCAACTAAGGTGCTTTTTCAAATCAAAAGGTACGGTTTATATAATTTCCTTCATCTTTTTCTTACAACTCATTTTTCCTCCACTGTATCATAGTTTACCTACAAAACTTTATAGAGGCTCAGCACCTGTAGCTTAGCAGCTAGGGCACTAGCCACAAATACTGGGGCTGGCAGGTTCAAACCCAGTCCAGGCCTGCCAAACAACACTAACAACTACAACAAAAACATACCCAGGCATTGTGGCAGCCACATGTACTCCCAGCTACTTGGGAGGCTGAGGTAAGAGAATCACTTAAACCCAAGAATTTGAGGTCGCTGTGAGCTGTGACGCCATGGCACTCTACCAAGGGATGATATAGTGATACTCTGTCTCAAAAAAAAAAAATTCACAGAGGTCTGTTCTCAACTTTAAAACAAACTATTTCTCTGTATTACTGTTCCCAATGTATACAGCTCTCTGCCTAACCAGATTATAACTGTTTTCTGTTTTCTAAAAAATAAACCGATTAGGCTCAGTGCCCATTAGCACAGTGGTTATAGTGCCAGCCATATGTACTAAGGTTGGCGGGTTCGAGCCTGGCCCAGGTCAGCTAAACAATAATGACAGCTGCAACAAGAAACAGGCACTGTGGTGGGTGCCTATAGACCCAGCTACTTGGGAGGCTGAGGCAAGAGAATAGCTTAAACCCAAGAGCTGGAGGTTGCTGTGAGACTCTGTCTCTAAAAATAAATAAATAAATAAATAAACAAACAAATTCATTAAGCAAGGTGCAGTGGTTCACACCTGTAATGCTAGCACTCTGGGAGGCCAATGCATGAGAATTCCCTTGAGCTTAAGAGTTTGAGACGAGCATGAACAAAAAATCAAGACTCCATCTCTATTAAAAATAGAAAATAATTAGCTGGGTATTGTAGTGGGCACCTGTAGTTCCAGCTACTCAAGAGGATCTTCTGAGCCCAGAAGTTTGAGGTTGCTATGAACTAGGCTGACACCACAGCACACTGGCCCATTAGAGACATTTATCCCAACTGACAGCATGGCTTTTTGCATGAATTAAGGGTTATATTCTCCTTTGCTGAAAATAGGAACAGCACTTCTAGAAGTTAAGAGAAAAAGAAGGCAAGACAGATCAAGATAGTAAGGCTATGGCAGTCAAGTATGTATCTAGAAAACAAAAAATAATAAATTTTTTGTCTAATGATATATTTGTTTCCATTATAAGGCAGCAATTCTTTTTGGTAACTTTCCTCCTTTTTGCCTTCTATAACAAATTCCATTTTTTAAATCTGCTTTACTTTGAACCAATTGGACAACTTTCCTAACAGAGTGCAGAAATACAAGATAAGAACTGACACTACACTTGAAGTATAATCTCTCAGCAAGCCTTCACATCTCTTACTAGTTTCTTTAAAATCTCAAAGTAACAACAAAGTCAAATAAAGATATGGGAGAAAAGTGAACTTACCACCAAACAAAGGTTCTGGTTCCACCAATATTTCCTGCTTTTGAGGAATTGGGGCACGGACTTCTTCTCTACTTAAGAAAAGTGGGAAAATATCACAGTGAAAACTGCTTTCTACTACCTGTTATCTTTCTGTAATTATTGTGATACATGCAAATTAACAAGGAAAATGGCTTAGTAACATTTAGGACCCACAGCAATCATGAGTTTTACATAATTTTCACATAAAGATCAAATGGAATAAAGTATCTGGCATATATAGCTCAATGGTTTATAAACAAAGAGAAAGACAGAAAAACAAAAAAACACTTCCTTTCCCTCAAGTTCCCTACCTTAAATTCTCTTTAGAAAAAAAGAGCTAGAAAATTTCCCCCCAAAAAAATCAGGCAAAAATGAATGGAAAAAATATAGTCTTAACAGAAACAATATCACATCGCTACTACATCAAAGAATAGATAATCAAATCACAAAGATATATTAAAATAAGCTTAAACAAACAGACAGTAAATTTTTTCTAATTAAGAAGGAGACTAGGCTCAGCGCCTATAGCTCAACCAGCTAAGGCGCCAGCCACGTACACCTAAGGTGGCGGGTTCGAATCCCCAGCCCGGACCCGCCAAACAACAATGAC